GAGTGAGAGCCTCTCAGCCGGATGAGGACCAAGTGGCAGTGTGTCCGGGAACCGGACTGATCATTTTTTTTTTTTCTTTTCCTCTCTCCCCTCTCTCGTATCTGTCTCTCCTCATCCTTCCGTCTCCTTTCCTCTCGCCTCGTCTGTCTGTCCTTACCCCCAGGTACGCCGCGGCCGCCGTGATCGGCTCCCCCGGAGGGGGTGGGGGAGTGGAGCGCAGTCTCGGGAGTACCCCCCAGCCTGCGAGGGGCGATGGGGGTATGTGACGAGGGGGGGGGGGTGATAATGAGCGACACCTGCACCACTCACTGGTCTCGAGTCCCACGGAGGAGCTCCGGAAGGATAAAAGGAAGAGTCACGACAGTGAAAGACGAGAGAGGACCAGGCCTGGATTTTATTTTGTGTTTTGGTTTTGTTTGTGCTATTTTGTGTTTGTTTATTTTATTAAAGTTTTGTTTAAATGTTCACCCGAACTACGAACGTTGTTACATGCTGCTTAAATTTTTTTGTGATAACCCTGATACTTTTAGAGACTGTTTTATTCTTACCCTTATATTTCGAAAAGTCTATTTAGTAAAAACTCGATAGTACAGTCTACAATATATATTTATATATGTTGATGTGCATGCATAAGCCTTTGTGTAAATAGGTTGCATGCTGCGCTCGTCCAATCAGTGCCACTGACACCGCTAATATGCAAATAATAATTTTTGGAATGCAAGTTTAGGAATGTACAGTATGAATTGTCAGTGTATGAACACTAGGGGTGTAACGGTACACAAAACGGTACACGAAAATGTTCGGTACGGGTCTTTCGGTTCGGTACACTCGTGTGTACCAAACAAATAGGCCTACATTGTTTTAACTACTGCACGAGCAGAACTTCATGAAACTTCCAGTTTTATATATTGTTACTTTTGATAAGAAACAAAGTCTCATCTTTCAAATTATGTCCTTTTTTCAGGAAATTCAAACAATAAATGCAGTTTTGACGCTCTTTGATGCGGCACGAGCAACAGATCGCTGTATAAACGCCTCAGTTCAAACGGCAGAGTGATCGTCTCTTCCTCTTTACTACTAGTTTTAACATAAAATAAACATGAATGAACATCTCACGCCTCATGTAATCGCTCAAGACGAGAGAGGACCAGGCCTGGATTTTATTTTGTGTTTTGGTTTTGTTTGTGCTATTTTGTGTTTGTTTATTTTATTAAAGTTTTGTTTAAATGTTCACCCGAACTACGAACGTTGTTACATGCTGCTTAAATTTTTTTGTGATAACCCTGATACTTTTAGAGACTGTTTTATTCTTACCCTTATATTTCGAAAAGTCTATTTAGTAAAAACTCGATAGTACAGTCTACAATATATATTTATATATGTTGATGTGCATGCATAAGCCTTTGTGTAAATAGGTTGCATGCTGCGCTCGTCCAATCAGTGCCACTGACACCGCTAATATGCAAATAATAATTTTTGGAATGCAAGTTTAGGAATGTACAGTATGAATTGTCAGTGTATGAACACTAGGGGTGTAACGGTACACAAAACGGTACACGAAAATGTTCGGTACGGGTCTTTCGGTTCGGTACACTCGTGTGTACCAAACAAATAGGCCTACATTGTTTTAACTACTGCACGAGCAGAACTTCATGAAACTTCCAGTTTTATATATTGTTACTTTTGATAAGAAACAAAGTCTCATCTTTCAAATTATGTCCTTTTTTCAGGAAATTCAAACAATAAATGCAGTTTTGACGCTCTTTGATGCGGCACGAGCGACAGATCGCTGTATAAACGCCTCAGTTCAAACGGCAGAGTGATCGTCTCTTCCTCTTTACTACTAGTTTTAACACAAAATAAACATGAATGAACATCTCACGCCTCATGTAATCGCTCAAGCAGTGTTTCAACCGCGGAAAGACGGCAATAAAACAGCTTGTAAACAAAATGTCACGTAGCATTTAATTTGCCGCAGGCAGTCATCAGTGTCCACAGCTCGTTAGTGCGCTATAAATGAAGTCTAGAGAAGAGCATTTCACCAAATATTAGACTATTATATTTTACTTTACCTGTTAGGGATGTCTTAATTATTTAATGTTTACATAAATCTAAATAGAATATTTATAATTCAAAAGTTAATTTAAAAACTGCATTATGCGCAATTTAGATGTTTGCATACATTTTCTTTAAGTTGAGTGTTGCTTGTTATATTTAAAAATAAATAATTAAATTTAAGTTTGGGCTGTGTTGTTAACTGTAACCTTATAGTAGGCCTAATGTAAAAGGGCTCACTATAGTTTAAAGCATAAGTCGAGGTAGATTTTTATCCCTAAGAAATTTTTTATTATAACTGAGTTTACTTAAAGAAAGAGCAATTTGTTGATTAAACCACTGTTTAATAATAAAAAAAAAAGTTTATTTTTTTCCCCTGCTGTACCGAAACTGTAATGAACCATGACATAAAAACCGAGGTAGAGATTACGGTTTATAAAGTTGTAAATATGGATATTTTTCTTACACAAACGCATCGATTCGCTTCAGAAGGCCTTTATTAACCCCCCGGAGCCGTGTGGAGCACTTTTTATGATGGATATGTAAGGTCCACTCAATTAGCCCAATGAAGGTATCCAACGGTGGCTGAAGGTTTCCTGCACGTTCAGTCTTTACGGTGCGCAAATAATTCAGTTTCTATTAGTTGATTCTAATCTGTCTGCATTTTATTATGACCTCGAATTTAGGTTGAAATGCAAATTGGTTGTTTGTCCATTACTAATTCCTCTTCTTCTGACACTTGATTATTCTAGTTAACTCTTTACTTTATATTTTACTCATAATAAATGTATTATGCCGATTACATTGTCCATTCAGAGATATCAAATCAAATCAATACAAGACATCAAATTCTCAAAGATAAATCTAGGAGTAAAAGATGCATACCTGACTTAAAAAAAAAAAAACAGTATGGAGTCTATGGTCACACTCCACACTACAGGCTCATCTGACTACAGAAGCGCGCTGATCTTCTCGCAACAGTTCCTTAAGTACTCAGACCAAGACAAACATCCTCCAAATGGAAACAGGAACTAATGATTGGAATTTGCATTGATCAAGGCCTAGACGTGGAGAGTTTACACCTTTTGGGGACAGATGGTAATTTGCATTAAAGACACCGGGAAAGGACAAAATATCTCTAAACTCTTAGCATTCTCCATATCCTGAGATCTATTATGTACTTAACCCTGGACGCAGATTTGCAGAAACATACTCCTTCACTTAATCTACTTGAGATAATAAGTAGATAAGTCAGAATAATATCAAATGTGACAATTTATTATTAGTCAGGTAAATATGTAGTGTGCCAATTACATAGTCAATTCAGAGATATCAAATCAAATCAATACAAGACATCAAATTCTCAAAGATAAATCTAGGAGTAAAAGATGCATACCTGACTTAAAAAAAAAAAAACAGTATGGAGTCTATGGTCACACTCCACACTACAGGCTCATCTGACTACAGAAGCGCGCTGATCTTCTCGCAACAGTTCCTTAAGTACTCAGACCAAGACAAACATCCTCCAAATGGAAACAGGAACTAATGATTGGAATTTGCATTGATCAAGGCCTAGACGTGGAGAGTTTACACCTTTTGGGGACAGATGGTAATTTGCATTAAAGACACCGGGAAAGGACAAAATATCTCTAAACTCTTAGGATCTTTATCACCTTTTTAGTCTGCTTCATGTAAGATTGAGACCAGGGTGCGAACTACGGGGGAGCTAGGGGGAGCTCGGTTGTAATAATTGCGGAGGTTGTCTGTGATCTTAATCCCGTGCGAATCGGCCATCTCTGTGATTTGGCCAGCATTTGGAGGGTCGTATATCATTTTTCGAGGTTTTTGTTTCCGGTGCGCTTTTTTATCCATCTTTCGCGAAGAATGGAGCTGCGTTGGAGTGTTTGATAGTATTTTGGGTGCTGTTATATCGCTACACCATACAATTTGTAGAAAGAAAAAGCTGAAAAGGTTTTGAGGTTAATGTGTTACAAATAAATCAAGCATAAAGCTTGAGATATTATTTTAACCTGGTGAAATGTAAATGTCACAGGGCACGAAACTATATTGGTTTCTCTTTGGGGTTATTTCAAAATCACACAAGGTCCCCAGATAATACTAATCCCGTGCGAATAGGGTCAAAGACAGCCTGATGCTTTGTTTATAGACTATTTGTGGGTGGCTGTTTGTTGTTTCACCTATCAATTCGTGTTGATAAAGTATAATAGGGTAAATCCTGTATAGTGATTTATCCTATATAGTGCTTGCATAAAGCAAGTTATGTATCTTTGTAAGTCATTGTAAGCCCTCTTTTGAGGCACGCGCAAGCAGTGCAACCCCACCCCCACCCTCTCCCCCGTTATAAAAAAAAAAAGTGGGCTCCCCCAAAGTCCACGGTATAGTTCGAACACTGATTGAGACCATTGTACCAGTCTCACTGAGACAATTCAAACAATGCCAAACATGACTGTGAATATCACTTGCATTCATGTAGAACATTATATTATGCTACTGACCATTCTGAGTGAAGGGAAGGATGGGGGAGGGGGAAAGGAACAAATGAGAGAAAGGACTTTTCCCGCATCTTCTCTCAGTGAGATGTGGAAACACATGTCTGTGCATTAATACACTGTGGGAGTCATATACACTTAGGATGGCTTGAAGGTGAGTAAATCGTGGGGCAATTTTCATTTCTGGGTGAACTGTCCCTTTAACCACAGGTAAATGATGTGCAATATTAAACGTGACGCAAGATAAACTAGGATTCTGTTTACCCTGGATTTAGTATGACACTGACTTAACTATTTCAAGTGTGAAAAGCCCTCTTGTGAACAAATTCCACCAACAAAAGATTTTCAAACTTAGAAATCGGATCAAAGCTCAAACACATGCAGAAGTACATGTAAAAGCAGCGGTGTGAATGTGCACAGCTCTGTTGGTCTCACCTGACGTGTTTGCCATGAATGAGTGAGAGCAGGCAGAGCTTCACCATATTCCACGAGGTGCTGTTGTCATAGCGCATCAGGTTCAGTGCCATGGCAACATGCGAGTGACAGTTGTCACAGCAAAGGTTGTGCTGGAGAGAAAACGGAGATAATTTGTCAGAATATAACGAAGTCCCTTTAAGGCAAGTCATATCACATCTTTGAAACGCCTCTCGGGCATGCAAGTGCAGCTCCTATCTGA